AAGAATTGTCATATGATTATGCATATGCACGCATTTAGGGCCAGTGCATTATTTCCAGTAACTAAAGGTTGCCTGACTTTCATGATTACTCTGGAAGTCAGAACAACTTCCCATTTGTTGGCTGAGGAAAATGAATATATTTCATTCCAGCTGGATTCAGTCTTGACATGTGATTTATCATTGCCCAGGTATTTTTTTACAGTTGTTAAATTTGTGAAGTCATATCAGTAACATAAATTAAAAGCTTCAAGTAATGTCTCAAATGCATGGATATTATTTTAAGCCTACAGGAAACGCAAAAGAAAGAAATGCAAAATAATAGAGATGGAAAATCCCATTACTTGACTTACCTTCAGCAACAAAGTAAGTTTCCTTTCTTTGACTAGATGGATGTAAACTCAGTCCACAATCCAGCTTCTTGAAATACTCAGTAATTTTGTTTTCTGTATTTTGCTCTCTGAACGTACACACCATTTATGTAGCTCATTATGTGTGTAAAAGATCCTGGGAAAGATTTGAGACTGAGTAATCCATGCCAGCTCAGATTTCCGCACCAGTAAGTTAGTTGGGGCAGAGCTGGCATTGAAACATGGGATGTCTGTATTATCTGAAGTGGAGCATTCTTGGTTGTTCCTATCTTGAAAAAAAAAAAAAAAAAAAAAAAACAAACAAAAAACCCACAAAACCCAGGCTTTTGAAAGGGCAACTGTTTTTCCAGTATTTTCTTCTGGACATCCCAATATCTGTGTGTGTGTTGGCAGCAGAAGACTCTGAATGTCTCTTTTGGAGACCTCTGGCAGAATTCTGTTTTCATTGCAGGTGACTGAGCCCAGGACCAGCATGAGGTCTTGGTGTCCTTGGCTGTCTGTGATTGAAGTATTGTGAGCTGTAAGCCTCTAGAAGGTTAAGGAGGCAACTCTGCTCTTCCCTACACACTCCTCTGGTCAAGGAGTGCAGATGCCAGCACTGCTGCAGCTGGGTACGATTCCTGAGGGAGGTGCAGCTAGCAGGGGAGCACAATATCAGGACAGCACAAAAGGGAGAACAGGTAGAAAGACTGTGACATATGCCTTTTCCTGATGGCATGGGGAAGTTGTTCTCAGTGAAGAAGAAACTAACTTAGCCTGCACTCTCCAATGGCAGGTGACCAGTCTGTAGCACCTGTTTTTCAGCCTGGTAGTGACTCAAACCAGCTCTCCAGAGAGCCATACCCCGGTAGTGAGATAAACAGGGCCAGGAGACACCTTCTCCTTTTTAAGGCTTTTATTAAAAGTGATCAGCTCGGGATTGGGCGGCTCGGCAGGGCTGCAGTCTCCCCTCGCATCTCCCAGGGCAACTCAGAGGAGGAGGAGGAGGAGGAGGAGGATAACCACAGCTCTGTCCACTAAGGGCAGAGCTGGGGAATCATGTCTTTGTGGGAGCCTTTAGGGCGTGCTGTTCCCTTCCGTTGTTGTCCCTCCTGGCCCAGTCGGCTCGGTCTCACTGCCGGGGACGACTCCCATGCTCAGGGCGAGAGGGACTCCGAAGGTGTTCCGCATCTCTGCAGGCTCAGCACTCGGCTCCTCACGTCCAGACATCACTCCAGTCTCTCAACTCTTAGGTAGCTCGTTGTTTTTGGGGTTTTCTCAGTATGTTTGGAGCCGTATTCTCCCACAGCATGCTGGTCCTGGAGTCACTTTGCATAACCCCCCCCCACCCTCTCAGGTCTCTTCACTATTCTGGGGAAAAGTACACCTTAGCCTCGGGCAAGGCTCTGCTAATACAAAAGGAGCGATTAGCCACAACGACCCGTGATTACAATAACAAAACACGCAGAACTTGGCAGCGACAGTGATCTGGCTGCCTTTTTGTAACTTTTTCTCACAAAAAAAAATTAACAGAATTTTTGTTCAAAACAGTATGGAGTCAAACTTTTCCCTCATTTATCTAAAGCTGTCAAGGGAATGTGGGTTCAGGACTGAACATGAGACAGAGATCAGGGAATTCCAGGTGAGTTCATCTTGTGCCCCTACTTGGCTGTGCTAAGGGTCTCTCCTGTTCTCCTTTATCCTCGGGTGACCAAAAGATTCTGGCCATCTACGCTTTTTCTGACAAACCCATTTACTGCTAGGAACAAGAAAGAAACTATTTATTGCACAGTAAAGAGAAACTCGGCCCTCTATACACAAAATTATTTTACTATGCCTCAAAAGATAATCAGATTTGTGTTTTAAAGGAGGAGACTGGTGGGAAGGGGTTTCTCTCCACAGCAGTCTCTACCAGGCAAGTACCATCTGCAGTCTTTTCCACTTCCAGCCCCTTCCACTACTTTGGATAATGAATGGCATTGTCAGGAACAGTTTCCTGATGTTGTATAGTACTAAGGAAGAGACTGTCTTCTCCTATACTTAACCTTGGTGATTTTTAACCCAGCCATTAGTCCTCACAAATGATATTGTTTTCTTTTTTAGCATGAAGTAGGAAGGCCTTTTGAAAACCACAGCATCCATTGTAAGGATGGACATGTTCATCATTTAAGCCTGGGGCTCAGCTGTGAACACAAGAAGAACTTCAGAAGCCAAAATATATTTGGGCAAACCTTTTTGTGTAATGGTTTCCTCAGAACTCCAAGCTGTAATCAAACATTTCATTAAAATGCTCTGGGAATGCACAAGAAAGCTCTGGACTATAATGTTTGCCTAGGGAGTTTCATTTGAATCTTCAGCCTAGATTGTCCTTAAAGCCTACTGTATTACATGAAAGGTAGCAGAGTACCTCAAGGGAGGGTCACAGGCAATTCAGATTCACACTAGTGAGTTCCTGCACCTCCTGCCTGGAGCATTCCAGCAGCCACAAACTGAGCTGGATAATACCCTTATTACTCCATCTCCTCTTCAGCATGCATGCTGCAGCCAGCAGACACTACGTGCCCTTGTGTTGGTTAAAGTGGCATTTCTGGTACATGTCCTCAGAAGCAGAGAATGTGCCTTGATGATTTTGTTAAGAAAAATGATGCACTGATGTAATTCTTACTGTTAGTTTAGCCACAGCCCTCTCTTACCGGCCTAACTGCCAGTTACACCAGTAACACCCATCTGTCTAACAATCTGTCCATCAGAACTCTCCTCTGTGGCACCCATCTTTTCTGACACTCCAGAAAGATACAGGGGCTTGTTCTAACTCATGTTTTCACCAGGGCAGCAACATTTTATCCTCAGCTTCCCTTGGACTTCGTTCAGTGCAGATACCTGGTGCAGCACTGACAGGAGGAAACAGTCACAAAGCCAGAGCTCAGATGCAAGAGCAGGTCTTGCAAGCTCCAGCTTTTAGTCTGGCAGCACAAAGAAATGTGGTGGTTCAGTTTTCTGTGACTATGTTAATTTGTTTATTAGTAACCTGGGCAAACTCTGTAACTCTATTAGTAACTCTGGACAAAGCATTTAGTGCAAATCGATTAAATAATGGTATGCTGTTCCCTGGTTATCTTGGTCATGTGATAGGCTGGCTATTTTCAAGTGACTTGTTCTTTCCCCTTAACAAGCAGAATAATTCAAATTAATTGCTTCCAGAAACAAGAGGAACTGTAGTGTCCCCAGTTATTCATACTGCTCCTCCATCTGAGCATTGCTGCCGTGGGCATGCAGTTGTTCTACACATAGGGTATGTTTTCTTTCAGGACTATTTTATCCTTGGCAACTCGTCAATCACCTGGAATTAAATCTCTGTTCCACTTTCCATTATTTCACTAATCATAATGTCTTTTCTAGATCCATAATTGTTCTTCATGGGTTATAAAGCCAGCATAATTTGCTACATTGAAAAACACTGATACTGATTTATGTGCTTTCAGTTATGCACTGTGCATTTCATTTTAGGTCCAGTCTGGGGGTAGAAACCTCTCCAACCTGAGCATGTGCTGTGCACAGGATCTCTGCTGCTTTTCTCTTACTCCTGCTATGGAGATAAGTATGTTCGCTTTCAGAAATGTTTCTCAGGCTTTGTTTTTTCTTGACACTCTGCCCTCCACAGTCACTTCATTGCCTTGTGGCATGCTGGGGCTAATTTCATGGCTTGTTCTGTGGTTGTGGAATATCTGCTGTTTCCCAGGATGTCTGTAAAACAAACTGACAAGCCATCTTGGTGCTTAGCACACCCCACAGTTTGCTTCTGTGCTTTGCAAGTAGCAAAAGTTACTTTAGTAGCCTTTGGAACCCATTAATGTGCACCTCTCTCTGATCAGCCCTATTTGTGCTGTGTCTGTGTACCCCATAATCAACATTAAGAACAAATTTAATTCCATGTTTTTGTGAAATTACTGCTCTGACTTGGAGATGGTGCTGCAAATCCTGCTTGTGTGGTCGCTCTTCCCTGCTCTTTCATAAAACCCAGTTCCTACCTGCCACCTGATCATTCCAATTTAGAGGTCGCAGTGGCATCATGGGGTTAAAGGAATCTTGTAATGCATGTCAAGATTTAAAATCCCTGTAAAACAACAGAAAAATATTGTTTCCTGTCCTGACATGTTACTTACTGCCTAATTGTCATGGTTTGGAATGGGAGGAAATTTAGGGAAGTGATGCAAAGCTTTTTGTGTAACTAACAGTCTGTTGAACCACTGAGAAGCTGGACACGCCTCTGTGAAACACACGTGTTAAAGACGTGGAGGTGCATGGAGCCATGCAGCTTGGCTCCAAAAACCCCGGGAACTCTTTCCTTTCCAGTTGGTGAGGAGGTGGCGGGCCCCGTTCCCGGCCCCCGTCTCGGCCAGGCCAGGCCAGGCCAGGCCGGGCGGTTCTGCCGTGGGCTGGGCCCTTTCCCCCCTCCCCGGGCCGTCCGCCGGCCCCCACCGGCTCCGGCCCCAGCAGCTGCCGGCAGGAAGGCGGGGGAGGCTGCAGAGCGCTGGCCGGGGCCGGGCTGGCCGCAGCTGTGACGATCTTATCATCAGATCCCCTCCCGCCAGCGCGGCTGGGACCAGAGAGCCTTCCCTGCAGCCCGTGCAGAAAAACTAAAGCTCAACCATGAGGGCGGTCCTGCACAGCCAAGCCGCTGCTCCCGCCACGAGTTACCGGCGGGTCGGGTGGGCCCTGGGCGGGGTGCTAACCCTTTCAGTGCTTCAGTCCTCCCTCAGTAGGGAAAGGAACAAGATGCAAGCATGTCGAAGAACAGTAGGAAGACATCAAGGTCCGTGAAGAAGTCCCAGATGGAAGGGAAGAGGAGATGCCTTGTTTTCTGCTGAAATCCTCTTGTAAGCTATATGGAAAGGACTCTTTTTCCTTATAGCACATGAAACTATGGAGAGATGAAAGTGTTCAAATTGATAACGAGCAAAAGCCTCCATGCTAAGATAAGCAGATGTTAAAATAGCTGTGATCCCATGAAAAGTTTGAACAGAGGAAAAGAGTAGTTCTGTGCCTCCAAGAAAAGAAGATGATCTCTGTTCCCAGAGATAAAGATGATTTTTAGAAATAGATAATAAGAACTTTTGCCTTTGAACAGCTCATCTTTAAAACACTACCCCATAAGTTGACATAGCCCATTGACAAGCTGTAGGAAGACTTGTGGCAATGGGAAAAATTTGACAAGAGCAAAGTTCCCTGAGAGGCTGTTATTTGTGACAAAATTGAGAACGGTGAGAAAACTGGTTTTTTTCCTCTTGTAGGGAAATCTCCATAATCTTAACAAGGAGGACTTCTCTGCCTCAGTGAACTGAAGTAAGACTATTTTAGAGGTGGTAAACTGACTAGAAATTTTAAGTTAAGTTTCTTTACATTGTCAGTGGGAAAGAAAAGGATGTGGGGAGAGGGGAGGTGTTCTGAAGGGTTTGTTTTGATTCTTACTACTTTTTTCCTTCTAGTTGCTTTTAATAAAATTTTCTTTATACCCTCTTTAAAGTTTTGAGCCTGCTTTGCCTTTCTCCTAATCCTATATCACAGCAAGAAGTGAGTGTTTTAGTGACTAGCCAACACCAAACCCACCACATTCTTTAGTGCATTAGCCAAGAAAATCTCAAAATTGAAGAAATCTTAAATTAGCAAACCAAAACCACTACACTAGTACAAATTTTTATGGGCCATGAGCATTTGCTAAGTTTTAGTCCCTGTGAAATCTAATAGGTTTGTTCAGTGTGGCTTTGGAAAATATGCTCATATCCTGCTTCTTTCCTGGCAACTTTCCTCCTCCATGATGTAGTGCTTATCTTCCAGGGGAAGTGGATAGCAGAAAAACCTTTTTTTTTTTTGAAAGCATCATTTTCTTCTCCCTCCAGGTTCTTGAAAAATGGCATTCCATAGACCTGGTCCACTTAAGAGCACATTACTGTTTTTGAGCCAAAATCTGTTGTGTTAAACACAGTAAAGCTCTCTAAGGCAACCTTTTAAGCTTTTGCCAGCAGTTGTGCTCCTGTAGGTCAGGAAGGCTGGATCCAGCCCTTTGATGAAGTTGGTGACTCCTGCCACAGTGATCTCTGCCTTGTAGATCTGAGTGAATCCTGAACAGCCCAGAAGTGAATTGGAAGCTATGGACATGAGACCCTTGGAAATCCTCTTTCTGCTTTTTTTCCCTTTTAAAGTGTGTCTGGGCTAGGAGATAAAAATGTTTCTCAGCTGTCAGGGACTGCTGCCTGATACTTCTGTCTATGAAGACTGTGCTGGTCTCTCGCTGAATCTTTGCTAGTGAATGAGGTGCTGTTCATGTGACCATCTGGGCCTTGGTTTAAGCCACATGCTAAGCTCTGTGTCTTACCTGTGTACTCAAGCAGGGGGAAGGTTCATGTGCACACTTTTAAGTTGATGTCTCTGTTATTACCAGCTGTTTCCCATTTCTTGCATCAGAATAGGAAGAAGCATGAATTATTTAATGGAAAATGTTTCTGGATCCCTTACTTGCCTGAGATTATTCATGTCATGACCCCTCGGGGAGGGAAAGCTGAATAATAGTGGCTGATAAATGGAAACTGTTTCTCTTTCATTCTCCCCTGTCACTTTCTCCTTTTTCCATTTTCCACTAATGCGTACAGACAGTTTTCTGAAGCATTCATTGTTACCTGTGTTGACATCTAGAGGCTCTACCTAAGTTCCTGTACTTCTTGTGCCCAGGTCTACATGGGGAGCCTAAGGACTGAACAGGACATAGACAGAGACGGGATGGTCCCGGAAAAAAGGGATCACTATTACGGTTTTATAAGTAAAACACTGCAATAGTGGGGGCATTTTATGATGGATTATCCTAGTTAATTGCTGCTGTGATCAATTGTCGCAGACATCTTTTATGGAAAATCCTTTCCTTAGGATTTTTCCTCCTGAGAAGCTGAGAGGCCTCAGGGACAAAATGTAAACATTGATTATCTGCTGCTGTGGAATGCAACAGGTGGATCTTTGGTTGGCCCTTGTTGGATGTTTGTAATTAATGTCCAGTCACATCCCAGCTGGCTTGGACAGAGAGCTGAGCCACAAACCTTTGTTATCATTCCTTCCTTTTCTATTCTTAGCTAGCCTTCTGATGAAACCTTTTCTTCTATTCTTTTAGTATAGTTTTAATATAATATATATATAATAAAATAATAAATCAAGCCTTCTGAAACATGGAGTCAGATCCTCGTCTCTTCCCCTATTCAAAAACCCCTGTGAACACTGTCACAGTCAATCATTTATCTAATTGTCTGATGGCAATTAGGAAAATATGGTGTGTACAGTAAGCTAAGAAATGTGCTTCAGAAGCCATGGAGGTATCAGAGAAAAAACAGAGATTATATATGAACTTTTCTCATACAATTTTCCAAAGGCTGTAATACAATTCCCAGTTCTAGCTCCAAACTCCAGAAATATGATGCTTCTGGCAAAAGGTCAGTTTTCTGTTTACAATGAAGTGTTCATCTCTAGTAATGGGACTGATCTGAGGTTGCAAACTGCAGAATCTCTCATCTGAAATTCCAAGGATGAAGGGATCAGGCATTCTGCTTGTGATGCTCTCTTAGTCAGACAAAAGAAACAAAATAATACCAGCTTTTGAGCTAATTTTGTTCCCATTCTCCTTGATTTTAGTTATGTTTCTTTCTAGATTGGAAAGGTTTTTAATTTGGAATTCTGGCAGATATCCTTAGGAAATTTCAGTGGTATCTAAAATATGCTTGAATCTCTTTCTTATTCCTTTTATTTGTGAGGGCTAGGGATGCTATCCAGGCTGGAAGTATTTTGAAATATTCCAAGTCTGAGATGAAACAGTTGTGGTGCTTTTATTGAGATTTTTCTGGGCCAAACCACTATAAGATGAAAAAAGGATCCTATAGGAAGAGTTTTGTATTTTTCCTAACATTTTAGTGCTCCTCCTCCAGTACCACACAGCACCTAGAAATTCAAATTTTCCTTAAAAATGGAACAAAGATAATGACCTCATGTAGGAATTTCACTACAATGTGGATGAAATATAAAGCAAGGATGAGCAGTATAGTGTGGTGCTGATTCCAAAGGGCTCCTGATTTTTTAAAGGTTTTCTCCTGTGTGTTTGTCCTGATGACACAGCTCAGAATTTCATCTGGATGTCCAAATTCTGTGCTTCTTACCACCAAACTGCATGTGTATAAGGGCTGGAGAGTGAGTCACGGACAAGCAAAGGAATCTCTCTCTGGATTTCTTCTAGTGCTCCCCACACATCCTGTTGGCTGCAAATGCCAGTGGGAGCCCAGACATCAGCAGCTCCTCATGCTATGCAACGCATTCCCTAAAAGCCTTCAAAAAACCCTGCAAGAGCAGTGCTTGATGGTTTGCTTCACCCCCCAAAAGTCCAGGATTCACCTCCAGAGGGTGCTGCAAACTTGCTGTGGTCACCAGCCCGCGGTGTGCAGGAGGGAGCTGCTCAATAGGCATTTCACTGCGGTTAGGGGCCATCAAAATATGTAAGTAATATTTTGACTGTCACACTGATTGCACAACATGTTGTTTTCGGTATAGCTTGTATGCACTTTGAAGTAAAAAAATCCAGGTGGCAGCTGTCTTTTGTTAATATGAGATTATTGTGCTTGTTGTGTGAACATGATCTGCATCTATAAGCAGCAAAGGGACAGATCCAAGTCAGTCATGAAAAGAAAAAAACGTTTAATACAATTCTTGGGCCATCTTGCTTCTCTGCTAATTTGCAGCTGAATAGATGCTGTACAGGCAAATATTCATACAGTGAAAATATACAGAACCAGAATTCTAAGGAGTGCTTACAACACTGTGGTAACCCTTTTCCTGACATTACTGAGAGACACTCCTTCCCCACCCTAAGTAGTGTCCAGAGCAGGCAGAAGCATACAGACGGGGAATTAAGACATGGAGAAGAAGAGAATTTTGAGTGCTGGAGACAGTGGATAAGTTTATAGTATTAGAAAAGTGCTGCTTCTTAGTGTTGTTTGTAAGACCATGTTGGAAGCATATGGCAGAGCTACTGATCTTACAGAAGGACGAGTTTTAGGATGACACTAATGTCATGAGTGTTGCTGTGTTCTTTTGGCCTGCCTGGATTAAAATGGCTGCAGGAGAGCACAGCAGCTGTGAGGCATGATGTTGACTGCTGCCCTGCTGCTGGCCGTGTTCCTCAGCAGTTTCATGGCAGAAATCCTTCTGCCTTCCTGACCCCTTGGTGTTGCTCTCATCCTGCTCAGGATGAACTGAGAGGCTTTGCCAGTACAATGCTGAATCCCTGTCTCTGCACTGGAATTGCCCCCCTCTGCATACTGCATTTTGTCTTCCTGCTGCCCGTGGCTGTTGGTGACAGAATTGGCAGGAAGGGCTGGCCCTGTCCCAAGGTGTGTCCCCATCCAAGCTCGCTGGGGTCCCAGAGCTGGCCCAGCATACTACGTACTGGCTGTGCTGTGCTGAGCTGGTGTTAGCTGTACGTGGATTACTGCCCTCCTGTGGGTGCATCCCTTTCAATGTGCAGATGCTGCCCTGTGCAGTCCCTGCACCTTCTGGACAGACGTGGTGAGACTGAGCTTGTGAGATAGCTCTGAGGAAGTCCAGTGCCAGGACCTAAAAGCTGTTTTAGCCACAAACAGCTCAGCTGTGCTGGAGTGGGAATGGGCAATTTGCTTCAGGCTGTCTTGCTGTGGGAACCACAAGCAGTGCTCAGAGGAGCTTCCTGCTTGGGCAGGGCACTGCTTTTTCCCCAGTCCCAAATCCAAGTCAGGCTTGACCAGAGCAGCTAAAGCAGTAAGAGAGTGTGTTGCAGCCAGCCAGGGTAAGTGGTGGAGAAGCAGCCAGGAGGTCTTGGATGGCAGGTCACTGGGATGGTCATGCACAGCTTTTTCGTTAGCTGGAATTCAAGTCCTGTGGAAAATGGATGCTTCAGTAGTTGTTTTTGGTCTAATGGCTTGACCAAAAGTGGATACTGAAATTTATCATTAATTTATGATGTGTTCCAAATGGCTCATTTTGAAAGTCAAAGCATTTTATTTCAGCTTGATTTGACCACATCTGCTGGATCAATCTTAGTGCCTCAGGCTTCCCTTCTAATTTGTGGCTGGATTCATCTCCGTGGTACACAGCAATGGTTCGGTGGGGATGGCATCCTACAGCATCTTCTCAGATTAAATCCAAGCAGAGAATGTAGGGAAAGGAAGAGATAAAGGAAAAAAGAATGGAAGACCATGAGACATCACTTTTCTGAGACAGCGTTGTGTCTGAGGTAGACAGAGATTAATAAAAAATTGACCTAAAAAGAAGTGTTCTCAAGTAGGACAGCTGAAGTGTTTCAATTCAGTCAACAAAACCTGGGACAATAGCTTTCAGTTTGGTTTTCTGGTTAAAATAATAATAATAAAAAGGCAACAGCATTTTTGTTCAGAAGGCATTGGAAGAAAATACCCAACCAGCCCTTCTGCTAGCACAGAAGGAAAGTTTCTTTCTCTGAACTGGTGGCAAATTTTCCTACACAATTCTGGTCTTGCAGGTAAGATTCCTCTTTTGCCTTCCTAGTTAATTTGGGCTTCCTCAGTGAAACCAGTGGCATGGGTTTTGAGGGAGACAGATACAATGAGATCTTGAGATGTTTTTAGCAATCCAAGGTACCCTCCCCTGCCATCTGCACTCCATCCTTTTTTTTTCCCCAGCTGAAAATACACATTTCCCCCCACATCTGCAACAGCCCTACTTTTTACATTTTGGTCCAGTTTTTTTTTTTGTCTCTAGCCTCAAGATTGTCCTTTGAATTAGGGGTCCCATCTGTTGTTATCCTGAGCAGCACAGAAATAGAAAATCCTGCAGGCAAATGGAATGTTGCTTTGCAGGACCAGACTGAGCTCTACATCCAATTTAATGCTTAGTTTAAATTCTGTTGAATATGCACCTTAGATCTTTTTTTTTTTCAGGGACAATGTGCCAAGTAAATGGAAATTTATATTTGACAATTTCCTATTTTCCTTAAAAATAAAACACCTTAGTAATAAGTAAGATGGGGAATGGGTGGGGGAGCAGGTTTTCTGAGAGGCAGGGATGGTTCTATCAGTGCATCTTTTTCTTCTGGTGTGTGACATTTTGTACTGTTAGATGCAGAACTGGATTCCCAAGGAGGCTGTATTTGTGAGCAGAACTGTGTCCAGCCAGGCACTGAGCTACCCTGTCTTCTAAAACACATCTGCAAATATTCAGCCTCCAGCCAATTTCAAAGCTCCTTTGAATAAATGTTTGTGTATGAAGTATTGTGTAAACAGTTCCTGGGCACAGCAAATAGGAATGGCATATTTGGTGCCTATTTGATGGCACGTTTCATGAGGACAACTCATTTGTAGAGCAGTAATACACCCATTAGATGAGACATGTGACTTGGGAGTTGGTTAGGCAGGAGTTCCTTAATTTTACAATTCAAATTCAGATCTGAATTTTATAGCCTCCCCATCCTTGCTAACAGCAGAAGAGTGGTTTTCTGTGGCTACTGACACATCTTTGGTTTTTTTACTGCACTCTAATAGGATGTTTCCACCATCCCTGTGCATTGGAGTCCCTTGCTAAATGGATGTGGGCGCCCAAGCTTGTCTCCAGTTAAGAAGGCCTACTTCTTCCATATATCCAGGTACCAAAACCTTCAGGAGGATCCTTTGTCTTAGAGTGCAGCAGTACCACCACTGAGTAGAACAATAAGATGATTTTCAAACTGAATAACACTTCCAAAAGGTGGGTCTGGTTGGTAAAGTCTCATTCTTGATCCAGACTCTCTATAGCAAGAGGTGTTCAAACCCTGGGCTTAGGTATATGCTGTTGTAAGAGACAAGAGCTGCAAAGTTCAGGTCAGGAGTTTTAGTGAGTTACAGGGATTGTCCATGAAATAGCGGTTACTATATCTACTGCTGAGTTCAAATCAAGTCATTCTTGAGGAAGGTAACAGACAGCTTATCACTCACTCTGTTTCTTTTGAATTGAAATCAAACTTATCAAACTTAAAAAGTGAAGCTGTGAAAACCAGCTACATTTTATGTAGGCTTCACACCCTTTAAAAATTCACAAGAAAACAAAGGGCAGAGATTTTATCACTAAAATCTGAATCAGATTGATTTTCTGGATTTCTGGATTTTCTGGATTTTCTTGGCTCAGATCTGAATGTGATTTTAGATGCAAAGTCCCCAAAGTCTGCAAATCTGAATCTCTGTCACCCTTGGATGCTACTAGTGTGGGGTAGACTGTATTATCCCATGAGTATGAAAAAGGTGAAGCAAACTTACTTTGCTATTTTCTTTACTGTTCACCTTTGATTCTTTTTCACTTCAGGTCAGACATAAACACTGTAGCTGAAACGCTGTCATGATTTTATGACTGAGAAAAGAGATTTGTTGGCATGTGGACCAAGGAGGAAAGAACCAGTTCTCATTTTTTAGGGGTGTAAAAAGTGCAATGGAGAGAGAGAACTTTCTTTCCCTTTTGGGTACAGTGTGATCTAGTGAGCCTCTTGTCCTCCTCTACTGCACAAGGTGTGAGTAGAGCCTGCAGGAAGGATGACAAAGCTGTTGGGTGGCACTGTCACTTCTTGGCAATTCTGTGTTCCCAAAGCATGGGCGTGGCCCAGCTCTCCTGGCATGGCAGTGCTGTGAAGGTCAGCGCATGTTGCATTGGGAAGAGGCATCCTCCCTTCTGCACTGGCTGATAGAAATCCCAGGGAGGATGCTAAGAGTTTATTTGAAAATAGAAGAAGACAAGCAAATTAATCAGACAGCAAAAAGAAAATGGTGTTCTATAAGACTTCAGTGGTTTGGGTCGTGAGGCAGACCTGCAGCCAGAGGAAGTGGCAGGCTTGCCAGCATGAATACCCAAGAAGAATGTGGAGCAGGACGCTCACATCACTGAACAAGTCACTGCAGCAGTGACTTCTGGTGAGTTCTCATGTTTGCAGTCAGTACTAGGAGGGAGGCAACATGGATGTGCCTCTTGGATCATATCATATCCATATCATATCATGGATGTGATAACTGCTGCAAATTCTTCCTCAGCAGTTACCATTCATCTGAAAAAGAAGAAACACTGAAAAGAAAGCCCTTTTTATCTTCTGGTTATTATTATTTTATATTATATTTCTTCTTATTATTATGTTCTTCCTCACTACATCACTCAAATTATGGTGCTCTCAGAACAAAGCTGAAAATCTGCCCTTTTGGTGCTGCTGAGTGCCTCAGGTCTTAGTGCTATGTTTTAGAGTGAGTGCTCACCCTAAAAGAGCTCCTCTGCTCTGTGTTAGGGCCACCAGCATAGCCCTGGCAGTGAGAGTACTATCTAGCTGGGAAGACCTTTACCTCTGAATTGTAAGGTTCAGGCTGCCTTTCCCCTCTGCTTAATTTTTCTGCTGGTAATTTATGAGGGACAATAGGTGCAGCCAAGAGTGGATAAATTGATTTGTTCACATGGGGAGGAATACCATAATAGTCTGCCATTTCTCAGAGAAACAAACAAATTTCTCATCTTGCAGTGCTGATGCTGAGAGGAGACTGTGCTGGAGTCTTCATAGCATGGATTGGGTAAATGTAGGAGGCTTGGAAGTGCGTAAATGTAGGAGTTATGTGAAAGAAGGCTTAGAAACATGAGTAGGTATTAATGTCTCTGTTTTGAATAACTCAAACATGTTTGACAGCTCCTCCCATCAGCCTTAGGAGAAACAAAAAAAGTAAGAATGTGTAGTCATATTTTGTAATGAATTTGCTTGAATTCCATTTATTCCAAATTTATTTTCTGTTAGCAGCCTCCTTGACAGAAAGTCTCCTAGAAATATGAACAATGTAGCAGTTAACCCAGGAAAAATGAATTTTAAACTTTCAATCCAGTCATCTTGCTGTGGAAGCATAATGCCAAGAGTCACACACAACTCCTTAAACATCACAAAAAACCCCATCCCATATGACCTGGCATTATCATTCCTAACTACATTAAAGAATTCTTTTCCAAGGGTCTGGGTTTTTTTCCTAACACAAACACTTTTTTATAACAAATGCCTTTGATAACTTTTCTGTTTGTTACCAGGAAACATGCAAGCAGAGAGGGAGAGATTTCTTGACTGAATGAGATATTTCACATTTTTTACCCACTGCAACTTGCATCCAGCTGCAGGCCTCAGTCCAGAGGCTGAGATCACTTGGCAGCGGAGATTGCATGGGGACCTTCTTGCTGATCCCTTACCTGATGTCACTGATGGCTGTGGGATCTGTGGTGGGAACCATGGCTCGATAGGGCCACAGTCTCAGCTTGTCCCTGAAGTACCTTGTTATTTTCCTTTGCAAAGACAAATGACTTTGCTCCACACAGGACCCTGTCTGTTGCTAGTTGTCCCCAGCACTGTTTTTTCCAGTGAGCTGGCCATGCCCTTGAAGGACCAGGAAGTTGTGGTTCAAGGGTTCAGAAACAGTCACTGGGCAGACAGCTGCTTCCCTAAAAAAAGGTTACCAGCTTGTATTGCTCCTGAACACACCATCCTTCTGAGCACACCCTGAGAGAACATCCTCGCCCAAGCCTTTATAGGAGATCATTCTTCCCTGCCCGTCTATTAATAAGCAGGTGATGTCAGCCTGTCATCCTTTCTTCCTCCAGGCAAAATCTAACCACAATGAGCAAATAATATATGAGATTTGGGGAGGGGATGCTGATGGTATTGGAATGCTGGGTGACCCCAGGAACAGGCACTGTCACTGAGTCAGAACATGACATCAACACTCCTCTCTGCTGTCAGGTTTGCTTTCTGCAAAAAAAATGGGCTTAGGCCTGTGCTCCTATTGTGTTCCAGTTAATGCTGGCATTCAGTGGCAAGCAGGGCTGCTGCTTGTTAATCTGATCAAACGGTGTTCAACAAGAGGGATCACAACAGTGGAAATTCTAAAGGGGTGATGCCATGTGCTTGTCTGCAAATGAAAGTGGGCTCAGGCCACAGCAGGGAATCTCTGCCTGCATGTCCCACTTGGGGTAGGGCAGGATTGCCCGTGCTGTAGGTGTCCCCTCTGGAGTAGAAGCAGCTTCTTGGCTGGCTGGAACTGAGAGGTCACACTGGGGTTTGCCTTCTTCATCTTCCTGCTGCTGTTTCTCTCCAGCTTTCCCTTTCCTGCAGATGTCAAGAGAAGTGTTCAAAGCATCAGGAGCAGGTGGAACAAAGTGGTCCAAGGAGAAGAAAGGTGTACTTGTGTGTCTTCCATGCAGTGGCTCATCTGAGAATTTACAGAGTAGAGAGTACAGTCCTGTTGGGAATAGTTTTCAGTGTGTATGTGAGATTTGAAGGATGACTGCCAGATGAGGAGCCCTCTTCCACAGGGCTTCAACATCCCTCTGTGACAGACTCTGCAACCTGCAGCATAGTCCTCTCCTCCAGTCCCCTCAATACAGGTTTTAATGCTGGGCTTGTCTCTGCTGGGAGTATGGAATTCAGTGGTGTCACTGTCCATACTGCTGTGTAACTTGGGGCAGAGCTTAACCTCATCAGGGACAGGCTGACATGCTGCAAAGTACTCTGACTGCAAGAATTTCCTACAAAAAGGTTTCTAGTGAGTGTTCTGGTGAAAACAGGCTCTGGGTTAGATTCCCTATCTATCCAAGCCTCCTGTCCTCAGGCGAGTATGAAACAGAGGCTAATTGCTTTTGCTATGCAAGGTAGGAGAAGGGTAGAAAGTCAAGAACTGGAGATTACTGAGCTATTAAGATTTCCCTGGGTTATTCATTTTTCCTCTACTAATCAATATGTTGCTTTGTAATTGCATAGCCAAAGATGAACTTTTCCTCATAAAACAATCTCCCATAAATCCTAGGCTGGGATAGCTGGAATCTGCTACAGTAAGCTTAATAGCTAGCATAAGTCAGAATGCCCCTGAGGAGGATGCCAATTTTTTTAGAAGGCTAAGCAGGTATTACAATGTCCTTCTCCTTTGCCCCCTCTCTCTCTGGCTTTGGCTGTTGCAGAAGTTGTTTCAGTGCCACTTTTCTGCCACATCATGCATTGCAATAGTGCATCACAGCCCCGTTTAAATTCACAGCAGGTCCATGGGGGTCTACATGAATCCCAAAGAAGTCTGAAGGCCATCCCTTGAAAACACATGCACCAATACTGAGTTTTATATAACCTTCTTTTACACATAGGCTAAAGCTAGCGCTACCACTCTTTTAGAAGAAGTGCACTCTCCTTAGGAAAAAAAAATATTAATCCAGCCTCTTCCAGACAATTATTTCCAGGCCACATAGCAGGAGTGAGTGATGTGGAATATTTCAGCAGCAGCCCTAAGTAGAAGGGTTGCATAACCAGGCACTGTCCTGTGTCAAATCTCAATGGATATTACTAAGAAGACAGGGCAATTTTACTCCCAGCTAAGGTAGGTAGTTTAGGTAGGTTTTGGGGTGGGTTACTCATGCAATCCATTTCATTTTGGCGTCCCTGCCTATTGTAGGTGGCTGCACGTGCACCTGTACACCAGTAATTACTCTGCTTGTAATGAAAAGGTGATGACTAGAACACCTTACATCAAGTGAGGATATATGAATTTAGCTGACTCTGCCACTGAATGTGAACACAGAGAAATCATTAAATGTGATAGTCTTGTTCTCCTGCATTTAATTTAGAATTTGTGACCCCAATCTTTATAAACCTTTTGGTCAGCTTTTCTAACTTTTGTGTGGGAGGTCAGTCCAAACATTGTTACAATCAGGAGGGTTTGTGTTACAGGGTCTTGGGAGTTCGAGGGAAAAGAATTAGTTTCAGTTACATGATTGAGTCTGATAATTATGATCAAGCTGCGGCAGCCTCCAGTTCAGGAGCATAATCTGCAGAAAGATTCTCCTTGCCTGGTTTGCAACCGGCTTTGTTTGGTATTGTGATTGTGAACACCAGAATAAGCAAACCAACAATTTTATGTTCTGATCTCTCTGTTTCCAGGAGGTTTTAGAAGAATCTGGGAGAGGGTCAAAATTCACATCTACACCCACATTTTAGTTTCTTCTCCCTTTGCTGCTCAGTGATAGATGAAGTGATGCTTTGCAGCCAACTGCAGTGAGTTGATCCAGATCCAAAATCCATATTTGGAGCTCTAAAAGCCAGTGGTATGTGACTGGTACTTAGCTTTTGTGGACCCATCAGTAATTAACCTAAGATGCTGAATGACTAAGCCAAGTGGGGCAGAGACATTGAGCACAAACAGCATTGCCTCATTCTTCGTCTTTTATTGAAGTGCTCAGAATGTCGTGCCAGGTGCCCGGTTTATTATAAACAAAATGGCCCTGTTCTGTGGAGCTTTGAGAATGCCTGGGAAAGGGTAGGAAGAAATATATGTGTGTTTTTAAATACAGCTCCACTAGGTTACCTGAGGAAATCTGGCAAAGGGAGGTTTCCAGGGATGTTTGAAACTGGGAAATGTCCTTGCGCTGAGGCTGAGTTCAGACGTGAGATTAGGAATAGGACTCATGAAACTATTGAAAGGGTCTCTTAGTGAAGAGGCCAGCAAATACAGCTGTGAGAACTTTTGGGATTTGAGAACAACAATTTAGAAAGAATCCTGTATTATTTTGAGCTGTCGCCTCAAAATCAGTGTCTGTGATGCTGAGGGATTCTGGAAAGAAACCTAGAACCCCTTTTCTAGGCAAATCCATTCCTGCTTGCTTGTGTGATGCCTTTT